GGGTTTGGCTGTGAACCACCACGGTACATGCTGTAGTTCTTGGCAGGAGGGAGCCGGCAGAACCATGTCATCTGCAAAAACCAGGGAAAAGATCCCCGGACCAGACCCCCTCTGACAACCCTGTCTGAATGTAATGGGCATACTATTCTAACGTCAGCTAATATACATTTTACCAGCTGGACTTACTATATTTTGTAAAAGTACTATTAATTTGTGCTTCCATAGTCATGGTTGACACATGGATATTGTAAAACCACAGAATTTAAACAGTAGAAAGTGTGTAGAACTAATTCAGCATCAAGAATCTGTGAAAAATCTAATAATAAAGAGAAACAGAAAAACAATAAGTGGGAATGCATAAGCATTCCCACTTGTAGAACTAATTCAGCATCAAGAATCTGTGAAAAATCTAATAATAAAGAGAAACAGGGCCATGATTGTGGGAATTTCCAAAGTAACTTGACTTGCATATAGAAGTGAAAGAGACATAAACTCAGTATTCCTCTATCTAACAAATACTCCCATTTATAGCAGGCTGAACTATGAATGAATGCCCGCAGCACTTAAAAGGTATTGCTTGACCCCAGTCTGACTTTCATGGGCTGGTAGTGTTTTTCCCAGGCAGCCGGAGAAAAGATGGAATAATGGGTTTAAGGAGGTCAGTTGGTCTATTGCTGTGGCCCAGTTAATCACATGAAACCCTTGTTCCTTGTTTGGAGTAAATGTGCTAATCCCTCTGGACTTTCTCTGGGCCACAGCCAGGCTTTGAAGACAAAAAGAGACCAAAAAAGAGCTATTGTTCTTCAAACAAGCTTTTGTACTTGTAACCTCTTACTAAGGTACAAATGCACTATACAGTTATGCATAATTGTTGTTACCTTATCAGTTTCCTCTGGAGCCAGTGTGAGGTGAATTTTACAAACTGAGTGGCCTTATTAAGTAAATGTTCTTCAAATTCAACATTGCGCCATTGATATTCACCTTTGTCCTAATTTAAGACAGGGTGTATTAAGTAGAGCCACAAAGAGGCCAGACCCTGCATGAGACTTCTGATACCTGATATGGCAGCACAAAATGTTTGTCAAGCTGCAGGAGTTGGAGCCCCAGCATAGTAATGTCGGCGGTCAGATGACAAAGTTATAGGTTACATAAGAACCCCCCTCGCTGTGTAAATAGCTCAAGCTGAAGGAAGGTCGAGCAATTTCAGTGCATCCTAACCCTCCAGTCTTTAATTAAATCTGCTGATGCCTGCAGTGCTTCATTGCCTTGGCTTAATTTAAAAATGGCTTAGCACCCTCTACAATTAAATTGCTAATCCTCAAGATTTCACTGGTGATTTGGCCAGATGGCTGCTACTGGAGATGACACCAAATCTTGCTGAATTTTGGAAGCAGCGCTTTTTTGGACAGTTAACTTAGCTTAAAATGGGATGTAATGCATGGCAGTGTTTTGATACTGTAAAGTAAATATGGCCATTTTTAGAAAATCTTAATAAAGCATTTATATTGCCTTGCAAAACTATTTGTACACATTCAGATTTTAATGTTCAATTTTAGTTCTCTAGGTAACAATGAGCCTTTTTGCCTGGAGATTTTAAATTGAACATTAAAATCTGAATGCGTGCAAATAGTTTTGCAAGGCAATATAAATGCTTTATTAAGATTTTCTAAAAATTCCCATATTGCCTGGAGAATATTAAATTTTTTGCCCCATCATGAAATGGAGTTGAAGAATTATTGCTGGACTGTCATGATTTTACTAAGGTTCAGACCCAAATGCAGAAGACCAAACAGGGAGACCAGGGAAAAGGTTTAACAGGTTTTATTGAAGAGATCATTCAGAGAGAAGTGTTGCTCTGAACACTGCTCAACCCGAACTGAAAAGTTAGGGGAAGACACAGCGGTTAGTTCAGGCTCAGTGGGTAATTGGACTCGTGAACTTCGAGAAGAGGATTTGGTTGCCGACTCACGTTCCCAGAGAAGTTGTTGAATCCTTGACTCCAGTCTGTATGCTGTAGTCCCAGTGTTTGTCTGATTGCGGTGGAGGGCAGAACATGGTTTACCCAGAATGCGGTTGTTTGTAGGTGAACGGAGAAACTGACTGCCACTCAGATTTCCTTCGGTACTTGAACGCGTCGTAGTGGAGATTAATCCCTTTCTCAGTGGGAAGCTCAAACAATCTCTCTGGATCCAAACGTCCTGTTTGAACCCCAGCTCAGTTTGTAGCTCAGTTGATCCTTCCAGGGAGAGGTCCGAAAAATCCAGTTTGCAGGATGACGTCCTGCCGAGAGGCAAAGACAAAACAATGTTAAAACTCAGGTAGAAAAAAACTCAGTTTGACTCAGCAAAACTCAGCATGGCTAGAGTACCCAAAACTGGCAAACACTCTGGCATCAAGGTAGTGGCAGACAGCAGCTTAAGAACACCCAACAGGTAATGAGGCAACAAGCTGCAGGGGTGCAGGGAGGCCCAATGAGGACAGGGCACCACCTGGTGGAGGAAAAAAAGGAAAAACAGAAACAACCCAAAAAAACTGTATTCCTGACATGGACAGATCATAGTAATCCAAAATTCTTTTTGCTAAATAAACAGTATTTAATATGAGAAGCTGTCTGAGAGTGAAATCAAAAGGCAACAAACTAGACTCTCCGCAACAACTACTTTATCACAAAATGAACAGGAGTACTACAATGATCCAGCCGTTAGTAAAACAAACAAACCAGAATATAACGTCAGAGACATTTGGTAATTATATTTAATTCCCTTCAGGTCACCCAACAGGTTTTTTTTTGCTGATAAATATTGGTGCAGCTATAGTTTTATAGGAAGGTTTCCTTCATTTCTGGTGAACCATTTAGGTGTTGCTTGTAGTTTTGTCTGTGTTTCAATGGTTAAGCTGTGACAAAACGAAATACAAAACTTATATTCAGTTTGTTTGTATTATTGTTAAAAATATACCGGAGGAGAATGTCTGCCTCTCAGTCCCCTTTCTATTTCATCCCAAAGATGTTCTGTGGTTTTGAGGTTTAGGGCTCTGTGTAGGCATTTCAATCTCATCCACAGAAACTCTTTCAATCGTGTTTTATGGACCTTTCTTTGTAGACAGGTCCTGTGTCATGTCGAAAAAGGAAGGGGCGCCATCTTTAATCCATTTCCACCAGATTGTAAACATGGATTTGTCCAAAATCTCTTGGGAAGCGGGAGCCTTTATTGTCCCTTTCACTTGAAATACGGGACCAAGCCCAACTCCTGAAAAACAAACAAACCATAATCCCTGCTCCACTTAACACCACAGGTGTGCCTGCTGTGGGACTGCAAAGGGATCTTTCCGTTTGTATCTTTCACAAATGTCCAGAGAAACGGCCTGCATGCTTGATTAACTTAAATAATTATCTAAATTGGTGAGCAAATACCTTTAGCAAAATCTGATAGCATGTAATAGTGTAAAATGGTTCTGTTGATATTTAAATGCCATATGTGTTTAAGGTTTACTAACATTGAGCTTTAAAGTTTTTGTAAAATCTCTCAGGAATAATTCACACATTATTTGCTGAAATTCGTATAAAAACCAGCCATCTTTGAGACTAAGAAAGCAATAAAGTGATAGATAAATTCTGTAAACAGACCTACTGTAAGAATATTAGAAGCATTGCCATGAAGCAATGTTACAGCAAAGAAGAAAATCACCTCATACAAATGCCCTTTCTGTGTCTGTTCTTAGGTTTGCAGGAGTTGAATAAAGTGAAGCAAGATTTTCAAATGATAATTTCTGATCTCTGTTTGTGATTTCAGGTCCAGTGCATAGAATTAAGAAATCTGAATGAAACCCACGAGAGAAACGATGGTAGCCTTAGAAACGCCGAGGGAGCCAGCCCCTCTCACGGCCCTCTCACGCTGGTACCTCTACGCCATCCATGGCTATTTCTGTGAAGTGATGTTCACGGCTGCCTGGGAGTTTGTAGTAAACTGCAACTGGAAGTTCCCCGGCGTGACCAGCGTTTGGGCCTTCTTCATCTACGGCACCTGTATCCTCATTGTAGAGTGGATGTACTTGAAGTTGCGCAACCGCTGCCCTGTACTGCTGCGCTGCATCATTTACACATTATGGACCTACCTGTGGGAGTTTGGGACTGGGCTGCTTCTGCGGCAGTTTAACGCCTGCCCCTGGGACTACTCCGATTTCCACTACAACTTCATGGGGTTGATTACGGCAGAGTATGCCGTGCCGTGGTTCTGCGCCTCCTTCATGGTGGAGCGTTTTGTCATCTGCAAAACCCTGCGGCTACGCTTTCATGAAGGGCCGGAGGACGGCTGGTCGACCCCTCAGCATGACTCCGGAGGTGGACGAGATGTCGGAGAATCCTTGGAGGGCAACAGGCAAAGAGAACAAAGGAGGGGAAGTGGCTTTAGTACAAATGGCTACCTTAAAGTTGATTGAGCCATGGTGCAGGGGACCTAGACCTGTCACTGATACTTTTTCATATGCAATTCCCACCCTTTATTACATGGGACACAGAGAGACAGCTCTAAAGAATGGGTTAGTGAGCTTATAGGAAGCTAGAAAATAAAGATCTAAGTAGGGCTTCTAATTCCAGACCATCAGTTCTGTTCTCATTACATCCACCCATTTCACCGGGGCTCCCTACCAAGGCTAGGTTCTTGAATGATCTGGATGACACATTAAATCTCCTTGTTATAGTTTGGATTTTGTATTTAAAAAAGCACTTATGCAGAGATCAGTCTTATTATTCCAAGAAAAGAATAATAAAAAACCAAAACAGTATTTCTGCTTTTCAAGTATGCATCAATCTATGAAGCAGCAACTGCTTTGCTCCATAGACATTTTAAATTTAAGTAATGCACTCATGGAGTATCATCTCATAATGTGACGCTGGCATTTCTTAAAATTTAAAGGAACGTTCCAATGTGTAATATTAAAGACAATCTTTGGAGTAAATATGCAATATGATATCCATAGATGTAGTCATCAATACTGAAGGATGTTTGTTCTATTTTGTCACCATCGTACTGTAATAAGTAGTTTATTATAGGTATGCACAATTAGAAAATGTATTGTTTGAATTAATCAAGAATTAGGAAATGCAATTGCTGCTGCAAGCTTTCCCAAACTTTCTTTTTAGTACACCAAAGAGCAGGGCCTCTACATGCCTCCAACTGAGCAATCTTCACATACATGCAGATGCATATTCTACTCAGTAGGGTTACTAAGTTACCGATTTACTAATTATTTATTTACAAATTCTTAGCAAAACACGTGTTTCTTTAAAAAAAAAATTATTTTAACTCCTTAAATCCATTGGTCTACAGACTATCAGGATATCCGCAGCACGTTAGAGCCTCTTATTTGTTCCCTTGTAGTACTAATGACTCCAATAGATACAGATAAATCCAGATATTTAGATATGCTTTATAAATAGATACAGTTTTTCTTTTAATTGTCTGGTATTAAATTTAGATTAAGGTTTTCTTTTAGATGTTTTTAAATGGCCAATCCAAAACATAAACATTGTTAACCTTCTTTATAGCTAATTTGATGTTCAGTAACCAAACAAATCTGTTTGTCCCCATCGTTAAACTTCCTGGATGACTTCTTGACTGTAGTTGGGATTTTTTTTCTCAAACTTTCCATCTCTCCTTTTTCCTTAAAATAATGTATTTGACTAGAGACAACGTTTCTATTAAGTTGTTCTGTATTTATCCAATGAGAACAATTTCAAAAAGTTGAAGCAAGAATGTTTAGTCTGACTTAACATCAGATGGTAAGAGTTTGTCTGGTACCAGAAGTGATACAAGCAGTTCTGGTATCACATCGGGTTGCATTTGGTTCAAAGCTTCAGTTTTGTATTGGTATAATTTTATAAAGTTATTGCAGGGGTCTCCCTACATCCAATCCTTGAAATATACTGTCCAAAAGTTTATGGATGCATCCGTGCTTCAACAAACCTCAACAAAACGATTGGCTCATTAGCAGGACTTCTCAGGACTGGATGGCATGCAGAGGAAATAACCAATCATTAGATTCAGCTGTGATTCAGGAATAAAGGCTGCAAGGCAATAGAGGATTAGGATCTTACTCTATTTATAAGGAACATACCTGAATTTCCTGATTTATTTATCCCTATTTGGGTCAGTTGACCAATAAAAGAGTAAAGCTCATGAGTCACCAAATTGTTCCATTCCTGTCTTACAGGTCATATGTTGATTTTTCTCTGAGTTCGTCTGTTACCACATGAAAAAACATCCCGTTGGTTAAAAAGTAAAAGCTGAATATCTCGTTGAATAAGAAATACTATAAATAATGTTGACGTGTAAGAAACTGCTGACTCATGTCTTAGTAGCCTAAATGGGGATCAGAACCAAATACGTATGAAATCACAGGTAAAAGGAATTTTTTGGAAAACTTTTCAAAATATGATTAAATCCTACAAAAGATTAAAATATTTCTAATCACTCCTTGTCTATATTAATACACAAAAGCAATTAGCTGTGAAAAAAGATAAAAGTATGCGGTTCTGGCATTAGTTCTAAGGTGATGCGTATGAAATGGTTTTCTTGCATTATAAAGTGGATGTAGGAGCAGGGAAAATTGACATGTAGCCTTCAGTTTACTGTTAACAATGTATGTTTGTCTTTTGTTTTACATTGCACCAAACTAGCACACTTAATGTAAACATTAGTATGTTGTGCAACAGAAAAAATTGTCCCTGTGAAACAGGGTGGTTGCTCCATAGCAAGGAAGCAATAAAGCAGACATCCAAGGATGCACACGAACACACTTTGGTGAATGTTTATTTGGCTGCATTTTTATCCTCAGGCTGCCATTAAATTCTGCAAAGACCTTTAAGAATGTATCCATCTGCAAGAAGCAGACTTTCACCATGGAAAATACTACACATGGTTATTTGAAGTAAATAAAAAAAAATGCATGGAAAGACTTTAAGTCCCTTTACTAAGAGTTTAATCAATAAACATAACGTAAACCTTACTGCTGCATGTGGGAATAGAATGACGGGCAGGTTGTCAGTTATCAGTATGGATCTGCAGTTTTCTCCCTAAAGCATGTTGAAGTGTCCTTGGGCCACATGTTGAACCAATAACTATATGTAAGCAGGTCATGGCTTTGCATGGCTGCTTTTCCACTGTGTTTTCTGTGTATTATGAACATATATGTGTGTTTTCTAGTTACTAAAGTAGACACATACCAATTTCTTCTACTAACCATGTTCTAAAAACTAAGTCACAATCATAAAAAAAGCCTCATTATAATTTTTTTTTTCATATNAGTTAATAAAGTGGAAGCATACCAATTTCTTCTACTAACCATGTTCTAAAAACTAAGTCACAATCATAAAAAAAGCCTCATTATAATTTTTTTTTTCATATTTATTTAAAATCATGTTTTTTTTTTTATCTCTGCATTCTCTGTTTATGTGGCTAAATTACAAATTCAATTTCTTTCATTAAATAATAGCAAAGGCTATTCTAAAAAAAAAAGAAAAAAAAAAACTCACAAAAATGAATGGCCAGTGCCTTGCTAAATAATTCACATTTTCTGCTAATTCTGCTTTTTTTTTTTTGCATTTTATTTAGTGTTTATAAAGTAAAACCAAACAGAAGGTAGCTACATTTGTGCCAACTGCAAAGAAATCAATGATTGCACTAATTTTTTGAAGCTTCTTTAAAAAAATACACCTTTAAATGTGTGGTAGCTGTGTGTGTTTAACCCATTTTACACCGACACAAAAACATTGGAGGTTGTCCGTGTGAAACCATATATTAGTAGAAATCCAGGTGTTCTCTGAAGGCTTAAGATCATTGTTTAATTTTCCCTCAACTTCCCTCTTTTTTAGATATTCACCTGTAAAAACCACGTGTTTCCACCACTTAAAATCCTATTAAAGTAGGTTTGGAGCTACTCAAGTACAAAGCATGTTAGATAAATGACTCCTCACTACATCTGTTCCTGTAAAAAAAAGGACTGGGAACCAACATATAATACTGAAATCTGTTAGAGACTAAAAACATTAGAGCAGAATCTAGATAACTAAAAAAACTTAGTAATGGTTCAAAAGTTCTTAGTGATAGAACCATCTCTGGTATGGATGTTTAAATATTAATGGTAATGTCTGCCCTTATAGTAGCTGAGAAGAGCAGAAAGCAACTATACATTTGAGGTGCATTGCTGCCACCCAGTGGCTGGTTAATGTGTTGCACTTTTCACCCTTGTATACATTTTTCATTAGGCTAAAAGCAATACTATCAATGTTATTATTACCTTTTAGTGAACATCTCTGTTTAATTCATTTGCAGTAAATGTCTTAACAACTTTCTAACCTAAATGCACTCACTGCAATATATGTGTGTGAAGCAGTATATGTGAGTCATACAGAGACACCATGTGAGCATTTGCATGAAGTAATTGTTGACAGGAATCTGGATCTATGTTATTATTATTATCATTTCTTTTAATGTGCATGTCTAAAACAGCTCCACCAAACTCTAGATTGACCTGACTGACCCTCACATTGATTTTAGAAATCTCTGTACTATATAATAGGTCTTTGAGGATAAAAGTGAAAAATGTATTGTTTTTTTTAATGTGTGTGGGTGTGAGAACTGTGAAATGTGTAACACTTTTTATATTATTTCTTGATAAATCATCGCTGTTGAACCCTAATAGATTAAAAATGTCCTCCATGCGTTTTTGTCTGCGTGTTTTTTTTGGGTAACATTTGATGAAAATGTGGATAATGTCATACTTATGAAGTTTGATCAAATGAATGCAACAAATTCCTGCTGGTCAGCATTTTCAAACCATGTCGAGTATTCATAATGTTTTGTATTGTTATTGTTGTTTTTGTTTTGTTTTTTTATATAGAATCTCTTTTTATGATGAAAATTGTATTTTTTTTTAAATATAATATTAACCGCACATTACTTAAATCATGTTGCAGGGAAAAAAAGTCTAACTTTTGAGGTTCAAAATAAATAAAGCCAAAATGTACCCACACAAAATTTATAGGGACAGGTTATCCTTAAATGCATGTTTGCTGGAGACAAACTCCACCTGCAGAGTATTTAAAATAACTTTTAAATAAAATAACTTTTTTGTCAATCACCAATAAACATATTTTGTTTGGTCAGAGCAGGGAGCCATATTTGAAAGCAAAACACCACTGCACAAGTGGCTTACTTTATTTTCATCAGAAATAAATATCTTCAGGAAACACAGAGTACATGTCAGACTTTATATTACTTTAGCGATAGT